ATGTCGTCGAAGTACGTCTGTACGAAGGTACGCAAAGGGCGGAACAATTGCGTCACCAGGCGATTGAACGTCGCCGGGGCGTTAGACAAGCCCTGCGGCATGACGAGCCACTCCCAAAGCATGCCGCTTGGAGTGCTTACCGCGGTGAGCGGGATGTCACTCTCTCGCATCAGGATTTGGTAGTATCCGTCTACCAAATCCAGCGCACTGTACAGTACGCTCCCAGCCATGTTGTTCAACAACACATCCTTTCGTGGGATCGGTGTTTGGGCCGGCACCGTTGCGTTGTTCAGCTTGTTATAAGCGTGAACCAGACGCCACTTTCCGTTCGGCTTACGAACGCAGAAAGTCGGCGTCGAGTGCGGGGATTTCGACTCCCGCACCATGCCTGCCTTCGCTTTCGCGGCGAAGAAGGCATCAATGACCTCGCACTGTTCGCGCGGGAGAGGCCATTGCCTCGTGACACAATACTTTGTGCCGGGCACGAGATCAATCTCGTGCCGTACGCCTCGATCCGGTGGGAGTTGGGTCGGTGGGTGTTTATTCACCACGTCCGCATACTCCGTCACCAAAGGATACACCGGATCCTTGGGGTTCTTGAGAATCTCAGAACCCAAGCGCGCCTGACGCTGCTTGTTCATGTCTTCCAGGACGTTCTCGTCCAAGACAGAGGAGGAGTTCAGCTCCTCCTGAGTGGTCTCAGGTCTTATGAGTACCATCTCAGCGATCTCTCCAGCCTTGAGGTTGGCCAGGAAAGACTCAGCCGTCATTTCCTCGAGGTTCAGTATCTCTGCAACCTCTGGCAACGGTTCCAAGTGGACACCAGATGCCTTGACGGGTAAACCCGTCTCGCTATCGAAGATGTGATAGCACTCTTCCACCGGCCTTGTCGGAGGAGCCCGGGCCCTGGACTCCGAGTCGCTTGAAGCGACGTCGATCGGAACGAAGTTCGGATCCGACTTGAGGCGGCGGCGGCGTCTTTGCCGACGGCTTCTGTGACGGGGAGCTTTGCTGCCCACGTCTAGGGATGTCGTCGCTACGACATCCGAGGCACTCGTGGCCTCGTGTGGTACTGTTGTACCCACACAGGAAGCGTGTTCAACGCCTTCCTCTTCAGTTAAGGTCTGGGCGACCGCGTGTGGCACTGTGTTACCCACACAGGAAGCGTGTTCAACGCCTTCCTCTTCATTTAAGGTCTGGGCGACCGCGTGTGGCACTGTGTTACTCACACAGGAAGCGTATCCGACGTCTTCCTCTTCAGTTATGGTCTGGGCGACCGTGAGTGGAACTCTGTTACCCACTCTGAACACGCTGTTCTCAGTGTTCATGACAGCTGCAGCTGTCTGCGGAACTAAGTTACCCGCCTGTGGACCTAAGTTACCCACTTGGCCGGCGCCTCTTCTGGGCGCGGCCACCATCAAAACATCCTCGGAGTCGTCATATACGTCGACGACTCCCAAGCATCTGCCGGATGCTTTGGTACCCTGGCAGCCCTCGCGGGCGCCCCGGGTCCTGACAGAGGTGGGAACATGACTCACCAATGCTCTGTCGGACTGCGCAGGGCGGCTGGCACCGATTGCCTTGCCTCGCCAGTCGATCCAGGGCTCGTGCTTCTCAAGCCAGGGCATGCCCAGGATCATATCATATGGATCCATATCGAGAACAGTGAACTGTTCGAGGCTGTCAAAGTCTTCAAACTTGACAGCCAGATCCACTTGGACGTTGGGGACAGTGACGACCTTCCCGTCGGCCAGTCGCACTGACACCGTCCCGTTGCCCTTGCTTTCTCGCAAAGCTTCGGACAACTTGTTGCTGTTACGAGCAACCGTCTGGCGGCGTGCGAAATTCTTCGACGCCCCAGAGTCAATCAAGATTCTAAAGGGGTGATCGTACCCCCGTACACATCCGTGTACTACGAGCAACCCGCCGCTGCTCTTCGCCGATTCGAGAGTGCGAAGACTCTCAGGGGCTAAGTCCCCGTGGTACGCGCCACCCGCGCACCCATCACGAAGACTTAGTTCTTCCCCAGTAGGGCGCCCCGCCCCTACTGGTTCCCTGCGTTCCCCTGTCCCCGGGATCCTGGCTTCTGCCAGCGACCCTTGAGGACGGGCTTGGGGAAGGACCGTCTGCGGAGTCTTTCCGCGGGACAGTCGCGCTTGAAGTGGCCCATCTTCCCACAGCCGAAGCAGCGGATGTCACGCTGTTCGGCGGACCCAAGTTCCATGGGAACTGGTCCGTTGGGGCTTGTTCGACCGGGAGCCGACAAGGAACTCCCAGGCCACGCTGAGGCCGGCGTACGCGCCTGGCGATGGCGGTATTCTTCTTGAAGAGCCACTTGAATCGCCTCTTCAAGGGTGTTTGCCTGCACCCGGAACAGCTGAGTGCGTGCGGGGCCCACTCGAAGGCCGTCCATGAACACAGTCATCTTGATGTGTTCATTGAGTGGGTTTCCCACTAGGGACGCCGTGAGCTCCCGTATCTCTTGCACATACTCGTGCAGTTCGCGTCTTCCTTGTTTACACGCGAGGAAGCGCGAACGCTGGCGGTACTCGTAGTTCGCCGGGAGGAACGCGGCTCGGAGCTGTTGGCACAGCTGAGCCCAGGATGTGAAACATCCCCTGGATGTCGCTTCCCGAGTGTACACCCAACTCTTAGCACGACCGCTAAGGTTGGAGAGTGCAAAAGCAACACGCAGTTGCTCGGTCGAGATCAGAGCCGCGTCCATCGCGAGCTCTACTTCTCGGACCCAGAAGTGAAGGTTCTCGCCTTCCTTCCCTTCATACGGCTTTACCTTCAGCCGTATTGGCTTCGGGTGAGGCGGGTTTGCTTCCGCCGCCGGAGCCTGCAGGTTCTCCCGCACATGCGCGATGAGGCCCTGCTCGTACGCGTCGAATGCATTGACGCGCTCGAGCTGCTCAGCCGGTGTTGATACCACCAGGCTCTGCAGGGCCTCCATCCCGAAGATGCCTGCCATCTTCCGAACCGACTCGAACTGAGAGTCGTTCATATGGGAGAAGTCGTTCCTATCCATGGCAACGAACTTCGGAGGTTCAGGTAGTCTACCCGCGATGGCGTGGATTGACTACAAGTGCTACCAAGTGTGACGGGGTCACACAGCACCTTGCGCTAGAGGAAGTTATCTTCCGAGAGTATACAAACTCTCAGTGAACGGCAGTTCACAGGTCCCCTCTTTAATTAAAGAGAGCGAAGTGACCTAAATAAGGTAGATTGTAAACTGAGTATATTTATAGGTAGGTTAAGTTTGTGGTTAATACAAACTATCAGTTACCTATAGAAATGCAATGTCATAAAACCAATGGTTGGTTTTGAATGACCTTGGTACCTTGTACCAAATATCCCGGAGTATGACATGTCATACTCCTGAAGTGTGAAGTGTCACACTTCATGTAACCAGGGTACACTTAGTGCTACGTACCCCGTTACAAAAATGAACCCATATGTTTACTGCTGTGAACCTTTGATTTCTAAAAGTTGTTTAGACAGCAAAATCCGATACTACTTAAATGGCGGACGTGTCGCCGACAGGGGCGTAGTATACAATTTTAAATGGAGCGGCAAGACAACAACAAAACACGAGAGGTGTGAATTATAGTTGGTTAAGTAGACCCCATAAAGAAACATTAGTAAACTTGGAGCCTAAATGACGTCCAATAATCCTGGAATCATCGGTAAATTATCAAATAGAAAACACTACCGTCAACAGCAACAGCAGCAAGGCGTCTTGCGACACAATATCTAAGTGCTCCAATCATAACTGGCACAGATTCGAGTGCTAATTCTGAATCAGCACAAAATGAACGCCACATACATTAAAAATAGTAAAATGTGAATATTTTGTTTTAGCTTTCATTGAGTTTGATATGAGACGTGAACAATCTTTAGTTACGTACAAGCTGAAATAGGCAGTGCAGGCAGGGGTTAATAAGTAGTGCAAGCTGGACAGGCCATTACTATCGTTTGCGCTGATGTGAGCTAAGTTTCATAGCGGCTCAGAAATGGCCCGTGATATCGAGCACAACGCTAAACTAAACATATTGTGTAGCGTTTGTATGAATGTTATTTAAAGTGCTGGTGGTTTTGGATGGAGGATGAAGATACAGTGATAGCCAGCAATAAAAAAGAGATTGCATCAAGAATCTTGATTAAAGATCATTAGAATATTTATTTCTTAAATCGGGTAAGCATGATGCTGACCCAAATTAATAATTAAAATAAAAACGATTTAGGTACACGTGGGTTCAGCGTTTTTTTTTCAATAGTTATTCCGCCGAAGCATAGCGGAGGCGGGAAGGCCAAAGCAAGTAGAACTAAACCTAAATTACCGCCGCGTAGCGGCGGCGCTCGGCTAGTTTATAGAAACATGATCATGTTTTGATGCAGATATTTATTTTTCACAGTCGCAGCACCAGTTACTTAGTTGCAGATTTACGATCTACCATGCAGGTATCTACTTTCATTAGACAAAGAAATTCATATAAGTTATATTTTGAGGAGCCCTGCTGCATTGCATGAATCATCGGCAGTTTTCAAGACGCCTGCAAACGTTGTAGGCAGAGCTTCTACATGTAGTCTACCCTACATATATAATACAACCAAGTATTAATAAGTTAGCACTAATTGCATCGAATGGATCATCCAGTGAGCAACAGTTTTCACGTCTTCAAAAGAAAGGTCGATGTACCGTTAAATGCCCTAGGATTACGCCCCCAGACGCTCTTGCCCCCCCCCACCCGTGCGAGAATGGGGCGTGTCCTGTCGCTAAGTCCTCAGACGAGAGCCAACGCGCGAGTAACAGCAACGAAATCGCATGGGTGGGTCATCCATTCTGACCTATCCTAGATCCGACCAGTATATGATTCGCAAAACAAACATATCGAGCAAACTCGATGCAAATGTATTGCGTCGGAATATTAAAACCTTTTTACATGGCAGTCGTAGCGGCACTACACTCAGCGTAGTGCTGGCCATGCTGTCAGCGATCACTTGTGTGCCTTTTTCAGATTTGCAGCCACTTGTCTGTAAAAAATGAGTGCATCGACCCCGTTGCGTTTCAGCTTTGAAGCTGAGCGCAATTGCTTAAAGAAATGCGTCAAACCCCCGAACACTCTTTCTTCTTCGATTACATCTCCGTTGAACGCGGGCTTCTCGACGCGACGCAACATGCGCCCGCCATCTTCGTGGACCACATAGATAACATCAGGCGGAACGCCGTTATCAATGGTGTTGTATTCCTCGGTCACAGGGATCGCCGTGCTGGTGCGGAAAGAGACCGCAAGTATCATTCCGAGGATATACGTGAGGCGCATACTTACTGGGAAACTTGAGATGTACAGCGAGTGCCTTGTCTGCTTCTGCGCGAATTGCGGAATGAGTGGAAGGTCGTTCCAATGTGGAAGTCATATAGGAACTCATACGAAAGGGTTAAGCATGTATTAATACATGCACTTGCATCATAAAATGCATGATGATTACGATTTAGAAATTCAGACACCAATCACTTTGCTTTTCGATTTGGGAATGTACATGCACAGTGCAAGATACACTTTATTAATTATACATGTATTGAAAAACGGGTACTTCGTCCATGTTACGTGAAATTTGGAATCACTCTCGTATTTCCTTTCTTCAGTGTAGGGGGCGACGGGCCGAAGTACTGTGAACGATCGCATTTAAACCCAACGTACATGCGTTGCAGTTGTTGATTTGGCGGCGCTTTGTATGGTTGAATATCGTGTCCATTCGGACACAACATGCTGAGTTTGTGAATTTTACAAAACGTAGTGACCTATCAAATTGCTTTCCAAAGCGAACGACAAACCTGATGCGATATTTTGAGGACATCAAGTGTATATATGTAGCCTACGACTACGAAGTGGCTGTGGAAAAACTTGCAATTAGTTTGATGTCAGTGACTAGCAACCAACAGGCTTGAGATTGTTTGGACTTGTACAGTATCAGTCTTAGACTGTATCGAGAGCACATACGATTTATATGTGCTCTCGACTTCCAACTTCAGCTATACATGTAGGTTGAAAACTCGTAATTGAAGTAGTAGATTTCGCGTGATTTTAGTATTAAATAATATCGTCGAGTAAAAGTAAAATTGGGAGCTCACAGTCTTTACTTATGTATCTTGCTCGTTAGTGCCCAGCTTGTGCAACTTAGAGGCTTACGTTATGTTGCTGCATTACGTGCCTCTGTTGTCTATTTCAAATATCAAGATATCGGACTGCTGTCGGACTGCTACACTGTCTACGGTAATTAGTCCGACCGAGACTATTTTATGTGTATGGTTTCTCAGGTCATACACATTAAATAGTATGACACAGACTATTTAAGTGCTAGGACTATTTATGAATTTCGACCGGTCACAAAAAATACACAAAACGTGAGACTCAAACCGTCAAACCTCAGCGTGGAGGGTCGTCGCTCAGACGACTGCTCCAACTAAGACTAAATTTTCGTTCTTTCCAATGTTTTATCTATGTTAGCAAATGACCACCTTGCTGTATTTCTACGCGTTTTCCGTGTCAACAGGCTCGCCTTTAAAAGGGGTCTTGTGCTTCTTGATGATGTCTTGGAGATGCGGGTAAAGCTGAGAAACCGACCACGTCCCGTCGATGCCGAGAGACAGACCGCATAGCATCATTGCCTTTCGCGCGTATGACATTCCGTTCTTCTCCCTTTGAAGATTGACCGCCTTGACCGCATCTGAAGCGAGTTGCAAGAAAAACATCTTACCTGGGTTTTGAAGCTTGCCTGACCACGAGCCATCCTTGCGAACCTTGTTTTGCCACCCGTTCTCCTTGATCAACTCCATCTTCTTCTCGTTCCACTTGACTTTCCACGCGTCCTTGATCTTGGAAATGACGAACGAGTCAGCTGGCTGGCACAGATCCGTCGCGTTTGGCGGAAAGAACTTGAGGTTGGAGTTGATAGCGTCGAGCTCTGAACGACATTCTTCCGCTTCCAAATGGCCGGAGCAGTTGTCACGGAAGATCGGCTTCTTGCGCCCATGAACGTCTGCTCTCATCGCCCTCCTTTATTTTAGGTACTCTCGAAACAGCTTTTGAGTCATCCACCCCTTCTTGCTTGAGCGATAGCAGACGCCGGGGATCTTGTCTGGAACTCCGTGAATAGGATAGTTCCCCGCCGAATTCATGAAGATCATCATTGGTGGGTGAATCCGAGCGCTTGGGCCTCCTGAGAGTCGCACGACCATCGTCATTCCTTCACCTCCGGAGACCACGTCAGCATACTTCACAGTCTCGTCGCCACAAAACCCAAGCGTCTTGCCGTTGTCGAAGCCGACAACGAAATGAGTTTCGTCGATGTTCTCGATCGCGTTTTCATCGAGCGATCCGTCGGCAAACCCACGCTGAAGCTCGCCTAGGTGAAACGCCACTTCCTTCTCGATGTGCTGAAGCTTGGCCTGGCTGAGCTGCTTTTTCCCTGTCTGGGCCCTGATATCAATCTGGTGTGCCTCCATAAAGCCCTGAACCCAGCGAGGGGTGATTTTGTCGATGATCAGCGCACCTTTTGGGTTAACACTTTTGAAAGTGTCTCGAAGAATCTGCTTCGCGAGTTGCTGCAAAAGCTCCGGCTCGAACTTCACGCCAAGCTTTCGGAGTCTGTCGAACTCGTCCAAAAGCAAGGGATACAGCAACGTTACCCACGCGCTTCTTGGTCGCACACGCCCCGCAATGACCTTGGAACGCACGCGACGTCTTCCACCTCACCGACGCGTCGAAACAACAACCGCACCACGATCTGCCTCCAGTATACGCCCACGCTTCTTCCACCAGTCCACCGCCTTCGCTAAGTTGGCTGCCCGAGTCATCGAGTTGAATACACCAGGGAATTTGTCGACAGCTTTTGCAAAGATGCCTTTGTCGCCTTTGACTGCCTCGTGCTCTGTCATCCAGCGGACGACCTGAGCGATGCTGCTGACAGCCTGTGTGCTGCGCGATTGTCTGGATGAACGGGGTGAGCGTGATCGCGTGTACTCGAGCTCGCCTTCGAAGTCGTCGGCCTGAGATGTGCCGTGCTGGCTCGATCGGTATCGTCGCAGTCTGGACACACCATCGACTGCCCAAAGCCTTCGGCTCCAGTGGGTCGTCCACAAAATGGATGCATGTGGCGCAAACACTTGGGACAGCGATGAACAGAACCAACGGGTTCTCCACAACCTCCACATTGCGCAGTAGCTGTAGCAACTTCCATGCCGACTTGCCGATAAAACAGAGAATGAGGACTTAAACCTTTACTGGAGGGAGAGCTACGGCGCTCTACCATCCAGTCCTTCACCCCTACCACCGAAGCGGAGGTAACATCAGACACCTGTTGCTATAGCTTCTAATGATTCTGGGCTGTATATGTACTTGCACTTGGTCGGCACTTCGAGAACCACAAACATCAAAACCAATTCTTGTGAGAAAAAAAAGTAATGGGTGACTCGAACCCAGCCGTACTGAGTACTCTTACCCACACGGCTCATGTCCGACTATTTATGAACCTGTGTTGGTCAGACTATTTATAAATCTCGATATTTTGGCTAAACAATAAATAGTCTCACCTAGACTACTTTTGAACTGAGACTATTTTCGCACCTAGACTAATTACCGTAGACAGTGTACTGTAATCGATCGGGCATTTCGGACATATTTTGTCCGAGCATTTTCAAAATATTCGGTATTGCCTTAATTAAATCAAGTAGCTACAATATTTTCAAAATATCGTACCTGTTCGGACACATACATGTACAGCTAAAGTGAATGGCGTCTGAAAGCAGTCTGCGGAAACGTCAAGAACCATCTCCTAGAGCAATACCCTCGACGATTGCAGAAAATTGCGATTATTCTCGACAAACTTTGCGCCAAGACAGACACAGAGTTTACCCTCCTTGCATGGACACTGGTAATTATGATCTGCAAGGGTGCGACAGCTGCGGACGATAACAAGGATGGTGGCCTCAATAACAAAAAAGCGTGGATGACTGCAATTTTGTTTCGAGAGTGGCTTTGCAAATTTGAAGCATATGTGCGACCAAAAGAGAAAGGTAGTTTTTCGGGGCGGTAATAGAGAACATTAGTTTCTGGAATAACGCAAGGCTTGGAATAACGATAATCTGCATAAAATCTGAAGAAATGACGGATAGATTGGAATAGCGAAGGGTCGCGTTATTTCACTGAAATATATTTCTGAAATTCTTATTACTTAAGCCTGAGTTATTTTAGAATCTAAAGTTCTCTAATGCATCTTGTCACATCGAAACGGGCTCGAATTTACAGCAAGTTAACACCTTGCTTACGAACGTCGTATAAAACGACTTGTTATATTTGTTACGTCGTATATTAGGACATTGCACGAAGGTCATTAGCAAATGGCTCAGAAAAGTTTTTTCAATAATTTAATCAAGTTACCACAAAAATATAATCTGTGAGAGGTCATTTTGCTACAAGTCAAAACCAGGCCAGGGGAAGGGGATCAGCCACGTCGTGAAGAGCCACTCATTCGACATTTTGCTGGATGGCGCGCATACGGAAGAGTCGACGCGAGAAACCCGCCGTGCCGGCTGCCGCTGCACACGATATTGACTTTGGCCACTTATGGCGGCAGCTTCCGGCGGCGGGGTGGAAGTTCAAGCGTCCGAGTGGACTCCAGACTGAGTGGAGCTACTCGAGCCCTGACAACACGCACGTCTTCGTGGGGGAGAAATCAGTCGTGGACTACGCGTTCGACAATGGCTTGCTGGAAGAGGCGGATGCTGATGCTCAAGTTCGAGATGAAGGAGGTGGGGAACTAGACCAAGCAGAGTTGGTAATAGTGGTGAAGAGCAACAACACGGGGGGAAGACGTCTTTCGGCCTTCCCAGATCGACACGAGTGTCCTTCTTTCGCAGCATAACATTGATAAAATGTTCGGCACCCCAAGTGATGATGACGTCGAGCTGTCGCAGACTGAGCGGAGCATTGAATCTATCCCCAGGAGATCTACAAGACGGTGGTGCCCGTGAGGCCGCTGCTGGACTGCATTTACTTTTGGAGAATTCTGGATTAGAGAGCGAGGGTGATCTGGACCAAGAAGAAGCCGCTGCGTCTCAACCTCGACAACGGACACTTACGCTGTTGTCAGGAAAAGAGGACGTGAATGTTTTGGTGGATGGGGAGAAGCCGAGTGACTACGAGAACTACAGCTCGGGTGATAGCGACGACGACGGCATGAGTGATGGTAACAGAGCCGGGATATCCGAGGAAGATGACGACGTCCTGTCCGACAGTGACGCAGTTGAAATGGACCAGGCTTT